ACTTGACATACAGACCATCCCCCAGTACAGCCAAGTGCAGACCATCTCATACACCTGCACTCAGGCCCATGGTCCTAATCATCCTCTATGCAAACCTGCTGGGTAACGCCACAAGGAACCCAAGAAGGGCTCCCACAGGACATACATTAACATCCCACAGCAGACCCCATATAGGCTTCAGTCTCCATGAGTCTGTATGGGTCCTGCTTAGTTGATTCTGTAGGCCATGTTCTCCTACTGTCTTTAACCTCCCTGACTCCTACAATATTTTCTCTCCTTCTACTCAGAGTTCCTTGATCTCTGAAGGGAGGGACCTGATGCAGACCTGATTTAGACTCTCTTTCCGCATGTCTGGCTGTGCGTCTCTGCACTTGTACCTATCTGTTGATGGAGGAAGCCTCTCTGATGACAAATGAACAGGCATTGATCCAAGGTCTTTTAGCTGTCCAGTCTCCAGTCCCCCAGCCATCCCAGCAGTGCAGGCCAGTGCTCCCTATCATGCTTGGGCCTCAAGTTAAATCAGACTTTGGCTGGCCACTCCCACATGTTCTATGTTGTTGTTTGTTTCTTGCTCTTTTGGGGAGGGGTGCCACCCAGCTCCCAAATAAATCACACACAGAGGCTTATTCTTACTTACAAATGCCTGGCCTTAGCTTGGCTTGTTTCTAGCCAGCTTTTCGTAACTTAAATGATCCCATCTACCTTTTGCTTCTGGGCTTTCCCCATTCTCTTACTTCTGTAAATCTTCCTCTTACTCTGTGGCTTGCTGTGTAGCTGGGTGGCTGGGTTGCTGGGCCCTGAAGTCCTCCTCCTTCTCCCAGATTTCTCCTTCTATATATTCTTTCTGCCTGCCAGCCCCACCTATTCCTCTCTCCTGCCTTGCTATTAACCATTCAACTCTTTATTAGACCATCGGGTGTTTTAGACAGGCACAGTAACACAGCTTCACCGAGTTAAACAAATACAACATAAACAAAAGTAACACACCTTAAAGTAATATTCTACAACAGTTCTACACCACCATTGCCCCAGCACATCTTTCAAAAAGAACAGATTGTAGGTTGAGGGTTTTATGGCTGGGTTAGTATACAGGTTTCTCTTTCCTACAGAGTACCTTTTCATGCCAAAGAGAATAGAACATAGGGGTAGAGGCTCTATGTAGGAACCAGCTCAACCTCTCTACATTCAAAGAGCTGTGTCGATGTTGTCCTCTGCAATGGGGCCCTGCTGCCCATTTGTGGAGAGTGACCCTCTGTCCTAGCATCATCCTATGTTATTTAGGGATCTCTACAGGACCCTCTTGGCCAACAAGAACTGAATGCAATCCAGTCCACGAGGGGAAGCCTTGTCTAGCTACAAAAGTTGGCCAGTTCAGATTCTGTACCCTCAATACTGTGAGTCCTCACTAGGGTCACCCTCATAGAGTCCAGGAAGTTTCTACTGCATTAGGTTTCACATCAATTCTAGCTGCCTCTTCCTGGACTCTCCCACAACGTGTTCCCTCCCACTCCTGCCCTCAGTCCACCTGCAAAAATCTATTTCATATTCCCTTGCCAGGGAAATCCATGCTTCCCTCTAGAGCCCTCTTCTTTACCTACCCTCTCTGGGTCTGTGCATTGCAGTTTGATTATCATTTACTTAACAGCTAATATCTACTTATAAGTGAATATACACCATATTTTGGCTTTCTGGGACCTTACTTGGGATGATTTTTTTTCCAGTTCAATCCATTTGTGTGAAAATTTCACATTATTTTTTAACAGCTACATAATACTACATTTTGTAAGTGTACCACATTTTCTTTATCCATTCTTCTGTTGAACAACATCTAGGTTGTTTCCAGCACCTGGATATTATGAATAAAGCCTCAACGAGGCAGGATTAAGTGTTCGTTGGGTATATGCCCAAGAGTAGTATAGCTGGGTCTTGAGGTAGATCAGTTCACAACTTTCTGACGAACTGCCATATTGATTTCCATAGTGGCTAAATGTTTATACTCCCACTGGCAATGGTACAACGTTCTCCTGGCTCTACATTCTCGCCAGCATGAGCTGTTGACTTGTGGTTTTCTTTCTAGCCATTCTGACAGGTATAAGATGGAATCTCAAAGCAGTTTTTGATTGCATTTCCCTGATGGCTAAGGATGTTGAACATTTCTTTTAAGAGTTTCTCAGCCATTTGGGATTCCCCTGTTGAGAATTCTCTGTTTAGATCTGTACCACATTTTCTAATTGGATTATTTGGGATTCTGATACCCAATATCTTGAGTTCTTTATATATTTTGGGTATTAGACTCTGGTGATATTTTATTTGTGCTGAAATGTGATTTTATTGGTATGTTAATAAATATAGTCACCTGGGAGTCAGAACTAATAGCAAGCCATAGCAGAAGTCTGGCAGTGGTAGCACACGCCCTTAATCCTGATCACATGACAGGCAGATCTCTGATAGGCTGGGCGGTGGTGGCACATGCCTTTAATCCCAGCACTCGGGAGGCAGAACCAGGTGGATCTCTGTCAGTTTGAGGCCAGTCTGGTCTACAGAGTGAGATCCAGGACAGGCACCAAAACTACACAGAGAAACCCTGTCTCAAAAAACCAAAAAACAAACAAACAAACAAATGCTGATAGACGGTGGCTTCATTAGGGTTTCTGTTGCTGTGAAAAGACACCATGACCTGGCAACTCTTTTTTTTTTTTTTAATTTTTTTTTCTTTTTTTTTTTTCTGGCAACTCTTATAAAGGAAAACATTTAATTGGGGTTAGCTTACAATTTCAGAGGTTTAGTCCATTATCATCATGGTGGGAAGCATGGTGGCATGCAGGCAAACATGTGCTAGAGGAGGAGCTGAGGGTTCTACATCTTGATCCTCAGGCAATAGGAAGCAAACCATCTAATGCACTAAGCATAGCTTGAGCACGGGAGACCTCAAAGCCCACCCCCACAGGGACACACTTCCTCCAACAAGGCCACACATACTCCTACAAAGCCACACCTCCTAATAGTGCCACTCCCTTTGGGGGCCGTTTTCTTTCAAACCACCACAGATGGAGATTACTACAAAGCATGACCTGGGACCCTCAGGCCCACCATAGCAATTCAAGTCTAAGGAGAAGGAATGTAGCTACCTATGGCTCTTACTCTGTAGCAGGGCAGGGCAGAGCACCATCATAGATTCAGGAATGAAAAAGAGCTCTATACAAAATGCCAGACAGACTAAGAAAGAAATCAGGGTAACAATACTCTTTACAATAGCTTCATATGATATAAAATATCTTGGGATAACTCTAACCAAGCAACTGGAAGACTTGTATGATAAAACTTCAAGTCTTTGAAGAAGGTATCAGAAGGAAAGCTCTCCCATGCTCATGGATCTGTGGGATCAACATAGTAAAAAATGGCAATCTTACCAATCTACAGATTCAACCAATTCCCATGAAAATTTCAACACAACTCTTACAGACTTTGAAAGGGCAATTCTCAAATCCATCTGGAAAACAAATCCCGAACAATAGAAGAACTGCTGGAGGCATCACCATCCCTGATTTCAAGTTGTACTACAGAGCTATGGCAATAAAAACCACATGGTATTGGCATAAAAATAGACATGTTGAATAATGGAATTGAACTGAAGACCCAGACATAAATCCACATACCTATGGACACCTAGTTTTTGATTTAAAAAAGAAAAGCCAGAAATATACAATGGAAAAAAAAAAAAGAAATCATCTTCAACAAATGGTGCTAATCTAACTGAACAGCTGAGTGTAGAAGAATGCAAATAGACCTATAAATATCACCATGCACAAAACTTAAATCCAAGTGGATCAAAGACCTCAACATAAAACCAGAAACACAGCTGGGCAGTGGTGGTGCATGCCTTTAATCCCAGCACTCAGGAGGCAGAGGCAGGCCTGGTTTACAAAGCGAGTTCTAGGAAAGGCACAAAGCTACACAAAGAGACCCTGTCTTGAAAAAACAAAACAAAACAAAACAAAACAAAACAAAACAAAAAAAACCCCAAAAAACAGAAACACTGAACCTGATAGAAGAGAAAGTGGGGCATAGCTTTGAATGCACTGGCCCAGGAGACAACTTTCTGAATAGAACACTGATAGCACAGGCACTAAGATAAACAATTAACAAATAGGACCTCATGAAACTGAAAAGCTTTTGTAGGGCAAAGGACACTGTCAATAAATAAAAGCTTTTGTAGGGCAAAGGACACTGACAATAAAAGCATAAAAGCAGTAGCCTACAGAATGGGGAAAGATTTTTACCAACTCCACATCTGATACCAGTCTAATGTAGATATTTTTATTAAATAAGAAACACAGAGCCAAATGCATAGTTAAAAGCACAAGAGGTCAGA